ACTTCTTCTCTTAGTGCTATCTCTACACCGTCACTCATCAATCTATTTATTTTCAAGTACATTCTCTTTATTTATTTTTAATGTTAATATTACTTTTTCTTCACTTAGTTTCATGTACGATAATCGCTTTTCTGTACTTTCTACTCGTTTTGTCTTCTCGCTACCAAACACTGACTGTTTCTCTCCAAATCCACTGTATGTCTAGTTCCCTAATCACATGTCAAGTTAACTCTCAATCACTTTCTGCCCATTATGACGAATTCCTGCAATACTTTACCCAAAACTTTTATCATATCATAGCAATATCCGAAACCTGGCTCAAACCTTATATTCCATCATCTTCAGTCTCCTTGCCTGATTACATCCTGCTCCGTCATGACCGGGTAAACCGGACTGGCGGTGGAGTAGCCATGTTTGTCCACAATAGCCTAAAGACCCGAATCCTCGATTGCTCCCCATCTTCCGATCATCCTCATGTAGAATACCTCTTAGTAGAAATTCTCAGTAATATTTCTCCTATCCTTTACGCCGTGGTATATCGCCCTCCTCTCGTGCCATTTGACCCGTCCTTCGAATCAACTCTATTCAACTTCGTTCCCCTCTATCCCAGAATAATTATCTCCGGTGACCTCAATACCAATTTCCTCTCAAACTCCAATGACAAATCCTATTTAGAAAATCTGTTTTTCTCACTTCACCTATTCATCGTTCCTTTTTCCTCCACCCACCACACCTCCAGATCTGACACTTGGCTAGACTACTACATCATCGACTCAGCACAAAACCTCCTCTCCGCCTCTCAATTGCCAGTATCCTTTCTTTCATCTCATGATCTGATACAAATAACGTATAATATCCGCACTCCTCCAATCCATCCTCGAACTATCACTTTCCGCCAACTGGATACCCTTACTCGAGAAAAAATATTACCTGATCTAGTAACATTGGATTTGAATGGAATATATCATTGCTCCTCTGTCGACACCATGGTTGATATTCTCACCACCAATCTTCTCAATATACTTAATACCCACGCTCCTCTGAAAACCTCCACTTTCCGTCATCGTCCTGCTCCTTGGATGTGTCAGGAAATTAAGGATCTGCAGAAGAGACGCGACGCTGCACGCAGACGCTTCAGACGGACTAGGCTTGCAGATGATTATCAAATATTCAGAGTGCTTCGTAACACGACACAGACAAGGATCCGACAAGCGAAAGCGAACTACTTTCACGAAGCCCTTTCCTCAGCTCCTGATATCAAATCAAAATGGCTTCTACTTCGTAAGCTTTCCCTCTGTGAACCTTCTAGATCCCCTTCCTCAGTTTTCCCAATATCACCTGATGACCTAAACTCCCACTTTATATCGGTTTCCACCTCTTCTTTACCATCCCCTTCCGGCTTTTCTCCAGAGGTACCTTTTAACGACAATAATTTTTATTTTTCCGACATTTCTCCCACAGACCTTATTACCGTTATAATGAAATCCCGTTCCAATTCCGTAGGCCCAGATGGCATTCCTATCAAACTAATAAAATTATGTCTCCCTGAAATCCTCCCAGCACTCCTTTTCATCTACAATTTCTCCCTGCAGAATTCAATATTCCCGACCTCTTGGAAAAAAGCCATTGTCCTTCCTTTAAACAAAAAGCCTAATCCATCCTCTCCCGAAGATTTCCGCCCAATATCAATCCTTTCCAATCTTTCTAAACCCCTAGAAAAGTTAGTGCAATCCCAAGTTTCCAACTACCTTGAACAATCCAACCAACTCGATCCTCTCCAATCTGGCTTCCGTCCTGGCTACTCTACACAATCTGCTCTGATTAAAATTACTAGTGATATCCAGACTGCAATAGATGACAAAAAACTAACCATACTTATACTGCTTGATTTCTCCAAAGCTTTCGATTCCATTATCCATTCCATCCTTTTCAACAAACTAAAATCATTATCCTTCTCCAATAGTTCCATCTCTTGGTTCCAGTCTTTCCTCTCACAACGAACCCAAGCAGTTTCCATACCTAATCAACCTCTATCTGCCTACCTTCCTTTATCCTCAGGAGTTGCACAGGGTTCAAGCATGTCTCCTCTTCTTTTCAGTTCTTATATTAATGACCTAAATGATTCAATTATCCATTGTTCCCACCACCTTTATGCCGACGATTCTCAAATCTATTTATCCTTTTCTCCCGCTGAGTTATTGGTGGCATTTGCCAAAATTCAAGAAGATTTAGATCGAATTAGTGCCTGGGCCAACTTAAATGGATTAAGGCTAAATGCTGCCAAAACTCAGGCCATTCTCATTGGTTCCAAGCCCCTTCTTAGATCCCACACCAACTTTCCCTCACTCTATCTAAACAACCACCCCATCACCTTCTATCCCTTTGTTAAAAATTTAGGCTTTCTCATAGATCAAACCCTTTCCTGGAATCACCATATCTCTCATATATCCCGCCGTGCAATTTCTACCCTCAAACTATTCCATCACTTCCGCCATCTTCTACCCCAAAATACCCGTAGACTCATAGTTTCCTCTCTCATCTTTCCCCACTTTGACTACAGCTGTGTGGTGTACGATGGCCTCTCGGTGGAACTGCGTGATAGACTCAAAAGACTTATGAATTGCTTCGTAAGATTTGTAATTGGAACCCCGAGACGCTCCCGTGTCTCCCACCACTACACTGAGTTAGGGTGGCTCTTCCCCTCCTTAAGAAGACAATATTTCCTTGGCACTTTCCTTTATCAAATCATTACCGATCATCGTCCTTCTTATGCCTACAACCTTCTCCAATTTAAGTCCTCAATCCATTCTCTCACTACAAGATCCCGACCCTCTGACCTATACATCCCTTCTCATAGATCTGCCTCATTCCAAAATTCCTTTATAGCCCGCTCTGTCAACTTTTGGAATTTCCTCCCGATCAAAATTCGACATGCCCCTTCCCTGTATACATTCAAAAACCTCCTATTCCAATTCCTGTTCCAAAAACAGTCTGATACCAGCTAACTATTGATATTATATATGTATTGTGTAGCAATCATATAATCATAACACTTGGTAATAGATAGTACATGCATTTCCTACTATCGACGTAGGAATTTCAATACATACATTTTTTTTTATATATTTTTTTTTTATTCAATTATAAGTAACTGTTTATTTTTATATATATATTCAAGTAAAGTTTTTTTTTTTTTTTTATGAAATGAACTCATTGTATCTCTTTTTCGTTCTTCATTTCTCAAAGTGTATGTTTATGTTGTTCAACCCTTAAATATAATTTTGTTCATAGTTCAAGTGATTCGTTCATAGTTTTAATTGTTTTGTTCATAATTTTAAATGCTCTGTGCATAGTTTTATCTGTTTGTATATAGCTTGTGCACCTAAGATTTTCTTTACTTTTTATTTTATTTTATCAATTTTATTTATTGTTTCAACGTTCAGGCCAGTAATATTCTATTATTTTGTACATTATTGTTATTCTGAAGGGACTTAGTCCCAGAATAAAGTTTTTTTTTCTATCTATCTATCTATATATGGGTTTAGAAACAAAAAAAAATTGCTGAAGCGGGACATCAAGGGAAAATTTTTTACAGTCAAAAAAGTTCGATTTTTTTCGATATTGTTTTGGTTTTTTATCTATAACTCCTAAACGATGAATCAAAGCGAATAATGTATTCTTTAATAGATTAAAGAACGTTAAATTTTGCGTCAAACGAGTACATACACTTTCAAATTTGTTTACGCGGTAAGGTATAATACCACGATCAACCAACGCAGAGTTTTACTAAATTTGCCAAAAACTGAGACAAATTACTATCAATGGCCTTGTAACTTGGAAATGAGTTCCCTAAGAGGAAAAACCCACAGAATCAAAGTTGTAGAGCATCAAATTTCGCGTATACTCAGTATCAACTAATTTAATGTAGGTCACTTGCTGTGAACAAAATCGGTAATCTCCCGATGGTAATGGGTAATGTGGTAATGAAGGTAAACATGATTTTCAATATATCAACAGTATGGGTGTCTATTCTACTGAGTTAGTTTTGTTTAAAGTCTGTTACATGCAGTATAAGCCTCTTTTCCAGCTCTCAACAGCAAAAGATTTTGAAAAACGATGTGCCGAAAGATACCGAATTTTATAAAGGAATAACGAATCCCGATTCGAGATATATAATTAGCCAACAATAAAAATGTCAGTACTCAGTATACGCAATATTTGACGCTCTACAACTTTGATTCTATGGGTTTTTCCTCTTAGGCAACTCATTTCCAAGTCACAGGGTCACAGTTTTGACAAATTTGGTAAAACTCAACGTTGGTTGACGGTTTTATACCTTACTGCGTAATCAAATTTTGAAGTTCGTGTATTCCTTTGACGCAAAATTTAACGTTCTTTAATTTATTAAAGAACACATTTTTCGCTTTGCTGAATTTTTTAGGAGTTATAGGTGAATAAACCAAACAATATCGAAAAAATCTTCCTTTTTTTTCTGTAAAAAGTTTTCCCTTGATGGCCCGCTTCAGCAATTTTGTTTTTTACATGACTAAACCCATATATAAAAGTTAAAAAAATAAAAACTTTTCTCACATTTTTCGCAATGGATTTCCCGTTTCGATCCTCAAATTATTGGCCTAAAATTCTTTAAATCAGCCACCATTTTTGAAAGCAGCGGCTCTGGACCGGCAGACAAGGTTTTTTTTACTCAGAATAACATATACTTTCGTAATTTACAATCAAACCTTCGCCTGCGATCAGGTCGATTTTTGGGCCCTGGCTCACAACGGCTTCTAGATTCTCAGACTTCTCAATTTAGAACTGTAAACCATGACCACGATATGAGCATAAATACAATTAATTATCATCAAAAGCCTATCACAATATTTCTCTGGAATGTTGATGGATACAGGAACTTCACAGAAGATAGCATAAGATTCAATGATACAACTATAATATGCCTCTGCGAAACTCATCTTCTAGAAAGATCAGCAACGGCACAACTAGCGAGCGCTCTCGGATTTAAAATTCATCACGTCTAACGCCGTCAGGGAGAGGAGTCGAGGTAGGTGCAGTGGAGGCCTTATTTTGTAACTGTGTTTGACATTAGTGAATACTGGATATATGCTTATTTTAAGGGAAACCATAGCACTGATACGTTTATTTTAATTTTAGTAAACTTTAAACCATCTTTGAATATTGGTCTTGTATTGGAATTATTTGAGCCGACTCTAACTAAATTACTAAGTAGATACACTCAACATTTGTTTGTTTTTTTTAGGTGATTTTAATACTAGCGTGGCTAATTTTAATCAGGGTGATTTTGAGGCTTTTGAAGGTTCCAGTTTAGCCCATACTCGAAATAACTTAGATATGGTTGAAAATAGAAGTTGAGAATTATTGGTTGAATTTATGGAGAATAACTTCTTTGTATTTTTAAATGGTACAACAGTCAGCGAAAATCCCGGTCAGTATACTAACATCACCTCAAATGGTAAAAGTGTGATTGATATGGAGTGGTGTAACCACAGCCATATAAATTCAATAGCTGATTTAAAAATAAAGCACATGTTTTCAGGTTCAAAACACTTCCCTATTGAGACAACGCTCTTTATTTTCCCTTATTCTCCTAATAGTTCTTTAAAACAATTAAATCACGGTACTACTCAAGTCAAATGGGATAACACTAAAAATTAAATATACCAACAATTAATTATTAGTTCAGCTAGGGTAGGTTTTAACATAAACTCTGAATCAGTGAAAATTATTCAAAATGATATATTGTTAGCTATACATGAGACTTTGAACTTACTCGGCTTAATCAAAAAAATAAAACCTCATACTAATAAAACAAAAGAAATAAGCCATGATTCGATGTTGAATGTGTGTTAGCTATAAAACATGTAAAATCAATGGTAAAAAATTGTTATCTTAACAGTGCCGCCCATAAGTACATTGCTACCAAAAAGAAATTTAAAAATTTAGTTAAATCGAAGCGGTCTGAATATGAGCTTAGGTTTTGAATAATTTGGGCAATGTCCATGATTCAAAAACATTTTTGGGAACAATAAATAAATTTAGAAATCGGAAACCACAAACAGTTCCAATCAGCTGTGACCAGTGATTTAATTTCTTTTCACTGACGTACCCCCCGCGGAAGCAATTTGATATAGCATTCTGTGGAGTCCTCCATCCAATTCTAGATTGGGAAATTAGCCTTAAGGAGCTTCAAGCCTCTTTAATGAATGTAAAAGGGGCAAATGCACTGGTAGAGACGGTTTCAGTAACGAATTTTATAAGAATCTGCCAACTAACTGCCAATTATATCTTTTGCATTTATATAATAAAGTATTGTTGACTGAGGCTATACCAAGATCCTGAGTAAAAAAAGAATATTTCTCCAAGAGTGTCCGTATTTCCTGTTAATTCTAACCAAATTGAGACTCGTACCAAAATTATCAGTAGTTTAAAATAATGACGAAGTTAGAATAAAATCGTTGATAATTTTTTTAAAGCTAACGATTTGTCAAACAAAATTTAAATTTCAGTTTTTTTTTCTTTGATAATTTAATAATACTTTATTTATTCTGGAACGAGTCCCTTTAGAATAATACAGCAAGACATGTGGGCTAAGGAGCCTCAGATATACATAAACAAAAATACAGAGTAATTAAATAGTCAAAGTAAAATATATATATATATATATATATATATATATATATATATATATATATATAAGTTACTTTCTAATTATAATCAGTTAATAATAAAAAATTGAATAAAAAAACATGAAGTAAAAATAATGAAGAACGAACTAATAATTTATATAAATATCTACAGTAGTATCTATTTACAATTATATGGGGACTGGATGGATAAGAAATGATTGAACAGGCGGGATTTAAAGGTAGGAAGGGTATTGGATTGACGGATGTGGGAAGGGATGGAGTTCCATAGGGATGAGGATCCCTATTAATTAACGATCTGTTGAAAGCAGCGGTTCGGTGGGCTCTTATATATAAATCAGAATACCGGGAACGAGTATTGCGGGATTTAGTGTTGAGATTATTGAAAGTTAGATTGGATAGGTGTTGATGACCGTGGAGTTTTACGCCTCTAAACCCTAAGTCATGGTGTAAATGTGCTCTCACAACTCTATTATAAATGTCCTTTATTGAGACAGATTGTAATATTTATCAATAAACAAATAATCCAGAAAACCCTAAGTAACAACAACAACTACTTCAGTTGTAAAACGATTAACTGAAGTAGTGATTGAATTCCCAATAGTGATTCAATTTGAATAAAATACTTTGTATTCGTTACTTAGAGTAGCATTTGTCCATCTTTGATAGGAAGATGTTCAAAGCATCCTCAACTATGATAATCGGTCTTCATTGGGGACCTTATGAAGAGCGGTTATCAAAGTGTATTATAAGGTATACTATATAATGTACTATTTCTTCATTCTTCAAGGAAGATTTCCGAATTCTAAACTATCTAGGATCACAATGAGTTAATATCTTAAGATTAACGTCATTATTGATATTGAAAAGATATGTCAATAAAAGTTGGACAGCAACAATGTTAATAAAAATAATTGACAGATTATTTAATACTCAATAGTTGGATAATTACCTATGTAAATTGGCCAAGAAGCGATTCGGTGCTCCGTTGTCTTCAGGTAACTCTCAACTTCTTGAAACCCAACACTTTCAAGCAAGTTTCGAAAGAATTCAACAGAATCATTGGCTTTATAAAACCATGTTATATCCTAAAAAAAAAAGTTAATGTAAATTTGGAATAGACTTATCATATTATTATAATTATAAAAGTGAATAATAAAAAATTAAATTCCTACAGATATAATTACAAAATTGAGTTACATTTAACATATTAAAAGTCAATACAAGAGCAAATATTATTATTTTTTAAAAAATTCATGAATAGTATATAAAGTTTACATTATTTTCTAAACAGTCAATAGCAAATAACACATTAAGGATTAAATTTATTTTAAAAAATGATATCAGTCCGATTATACTAAATTGTAAAAATAAACACAACAAAGATGACATTGAAATAATAATGAAGTTCAGAATCAATTAATTTCACACACACACCAATATATAGGTATATAAATTGACTATGAAATATGTTAATAATGATAATCAATTTGGTTAATGTTTACCTTAATATAGCTGTTCCACTTCGGTGATTGTTTTAATATCTCGAAGGCAATATAGACCGCATTATCAGGTGTGAGGAACATTAAAAGAATTTCACCGCCTGGTTTCAGTAAAGAGTAGATGTTTCGCATCGTTTGTCTGAGGTATACAACAAGATTCGATATTAGATTCCATAAGATAAATTATGAAAAAGGTAAATAACATATTTTGTTTTGTTTTCCTGTTTTAATCATTGGAATAGGAGAAAAATGAATACAAAAACTTTAACATTTAACTTGAATCTTAAGTCACCACAATAGAATGTTTAAATTTCTATTCTCTTTAATATTATCATCTTTACAAATATCCGTTCTTGGAAAATTGAATTTATTATCAATGGAATAAAAAATACATTAATTCAATACACTATACCTGTAATCTGTAACCCAGTGTAAACAATAAAATGAAAATATTTTGTCAAATGATGCATTTTCCCAGCCAGATTTGAGCCTCTTTTCTTGAATATCAAGTTTTCCAAATTTCAGCCTGCCATCGATTTCGTATTTTTTACAACTTTCGAGCATAGGTTCAGATAAGTCACATCCGACCTAAAAAATAAAACATAAATTGATATTTGAGCCTAAATGATGTCATATTTTCAACATTTATAGAATATAAACATTAAGATCTAATACTATCATGACGACCAACCATTGAGCAATCCTTCGGGAGGAAAGGAAGAACAACGTTAGCCGTAACATCTCCTGGACCGCAACCTATATCGAGTACTCTTTCCCCTGCAGTCCATCGGAAGTATGGACTGTGTTCTTTTAAAACTTCATGAGTATCCTTCCCTGTTACAGTGTTGTTACTGGCGTAGCCGTCTACTTGGTCCATTTTAACAGATTTTCTGTCTCTAAAATAAAAATAAATCCATTTCAAAAAAGCATTTAAGTCGTTAAAAAACTGTTGAAAGATAGAGCTTAATCAAATCCATTTGTGTACTGAAGAATTATCGATTTCCTCCTTCAATATAATTTAAAACATTATCTTAGTGGAAATATGAGATATTGAATAAACTTCAAAACACTTTTTTTACCATTAAAAATGTTTGTTTTAGTTTGTTTGTAGACGAAAGCAAATTCTATATATTTTCATTCTGTTGGCATTTCAGCCCTTTTCGATCTTTTGACGCCTTAACCAGCCTCCTTCACCTCTGCCTACCTTGGGTTATCTCTTAACAGTTATCTGCATGCACCTCAACAACATCTTTGTTGATTCTACTTATCCATTTACATTTTTGCCTTTCACCTGGTTACTTGGCTACTATTGAGGAATTTATTGTTGTGCGCAATAAATATGTTGTGCACAAATGAATCAGACCACCGCAAGTGTATTTGTAAATTATCTGCGATTTTCCTAATTCTTCTTTCACATGGAATGTTTTTAAGAAGAGGAGAGCAATATAATTTCTCGGAAGGGAGGGGGGACTTCATGCGCCATCGACCATGCGGAGATGGGTACTCCTGAGGTGTGAACAAACGTTGTCCAAAATGAACCTTGTTTTAAAAACGTTAATAAAGTAATTGTTGATTGCTGCGCTGCTGAGCTCAAGTGCGGAGCTAACCATGCAACCACTCTGGAAGAGACATCGAAGATGTTTGTTTATAGCAGAAATCTACCCCAGAAATGATCCGTCCCAAGATAATGAAGAAGAGGAATTCACAAGGCGCGCTACAGTATGTCCACCTGGTACGGACTTGTGCCCACCATGGGACATATGAGATCTCCGTGCTGCTGTGCTCTGGTCGTGCTCCCGCTTTAGACGCAATCGAGACGGCTATGCTAAAGAATAGTATACCCTATATCGAAGATACATTGTTGGAGTTATTCAATGATTGCCTCGATAGGGGATAATTTCCACGAAATTGGAAAATTGCCGACATAAGGCTCCTTTACAAGGGAGGAGACAAGGACAAGCAATTAGCCAAGTCTTATAGGCCTATATTTCTCCTCCCTGTTATGAGCAAAGTGTTGGAGAAACTACTCCTGGTGAGCCTACGACCAGTCTTCTCAAGTGCGAGCCATCCACGGCAGTACGGATCCACTAAAGGTAGAGGAACCGCGGATGCCCTGCTGAGAGTGCGCAATGACGTCGAAGAAAAGGCGGAGAAGTATGTTATGCTCCTCCTGTTTGATATCACCTCCGCCTTCGATAGTGTTTGGTGGCCTTGCGTACTCCAGCAGTTGCAGAAGTATGAAGCTCCCAGCAACTTGTACGGGCTATTACGGAGCTATCTACAGGACCGAACTTTAAGAATATTTGGTAACTTCTTCGAAGTTGAAGACTCCATGGAAAGAGGTTGTCCCCAGGGTTCTGTTCTAGGTCCTGCCTTATGGAATTTAGTCTTCAATGAGTTGTTGGGAGTACTGGAAGAGGAGCGGTTCCCGGCCACGGCTTATGTAGATGATCTGGCCGTTGTGGTAGCCTCGAACAACAGAGCCCGACTGAAAGAAGAAGCTGAAAGGTGCGCCAACCTCGTAGAAGAGTGGTGCGAGAAGTCTTGGCGGCAGCCATCCTCTTGAAAGGCCTGATAGGGCTTACCCTATAACAATGGTTATACAAGGATCAAGAATACGTCCAAGTGAGGTTGTCACCTATCTTGGAATTAGGATTGGAAGAAAGTTCAACGTGACACCTCACTTGGACTATTTGAGAAGTAGCGTAGCCCTAACCCTTAACGGACTCAGTCGTATCGGGGGCGCATTTTGGGGAGTCAGGTATCCAGCAACTATGACCGTTTATAAAGGTGTTATTGTGAGTATCCTGAGGTATGTGTCCCCTGCCTGGAGCCAACATCTCTCGCACAGACAGAAATGTAGGTTGGCCACGATTCAGCGGATGGCTCTGCTTCGAGTCTCCAGATCATTCAGGACGGTGTCTCATGAGGCGGTGCAGGTCTTGGCAGGAGGAATACCTCTCGAACTCCTGCTGAGAGAAGACTACTACCAGTACTAGATTAGGAGAGAATCCTTAGCGGCTCTACCGGATTACTTCCGAGTGAGAATAGGACATGATCCAAGAAACTGGAAAAAGATCCTCCGGGAGGATACAGTAGAGGACTGGAACCGACGGTAGTTGACGACTCCCAAAGGAGCTACCCTAAGGAAGTACTTCCCCACCGTGAGTTCGCGACTAGAAGCGACTTGGGTCCTCCCGGACTACTGGATCTCACGGGGCATGGGGGTTTCCGAGCAAAGCTCGGTCAGTATGGTATAATTATCGATCCTCTATGCCCAAGTTGTGGGGTACCGGAGACCGCTGAACATGTTGTACTTACCTGTACGGTATATGGGTCACTGAGGGTGAAACTGTTGAGAGAAACAGGTCTCTTTTTCCTAACAGAGAGAGATCTTCCTCAACTTATGGCCAAAGACAAATACGTGCACTTCAAACGTTTTATAGTTGGATGGAAAGAAGTTGTACTACCAACCCACTTCTCTCTGGGAAGAAGAAGAGAAGCTGCACCGGGGAGGTCTCCAGAATAGATAGAAGAAAATAAAACCAGATGCAAGTGAAGAAAAGAGTGCACAAGCTGTGTGCACAGCTCAGAAACATAATGTAATAGTTAAAAATGTAGCAGTGGGTTGTTATGTAACAGCAACATCCCACTGCTGCAAGTACCCGTATTGCCTTGAGGCAGGTGAGGTTTGAAAATAAAATAAAATAAAACGTTAATAAAGTGATGAACATTTTGATTCACATTTAAAATTAAAAACAAGGTGCACGCTTAATATTATTAAAGTTTCTGAGGAAATGCAAGAACATTGTCCTCTTTAATTTAAACTCTTACTAATTGCATGTGCAATTTACGAATATACGGTTTGTATCTGCATTGGAATCAATTCAGAGCCAAAAGATTAAAATCACTATGAATCCAATTTTTAAAAGATCTGATAAAGGAATATCACTATATTCCCACTTTGTCAATTTTTAAAAGTATTGGTAACGTAATATACTCATGTAAGGATCTCCAAGCCGATATAGCTATAAAGAGTAATAGAATACGTTTTAAATAATTTAGTAAGTATGTTTTTATGAGGAAGATGATTCATCTATCCAATGTTTAAAAGCAATTCCTGGAAAATAGTAAGTCTATTATAAAATACTTAAAATAGACTCCAACAGTCATGGCAAACACTCGAAAATCAATTTATAATTTTCAGTTATAATTTATCAAGTTATAATAAAGTTGTTAAAGGATACTCTCATTTTTGTAAATATTAATAATGATTTTTGAATGTTTTAAATGCTATGAAGATATGAAGTAGATTCAATATCATATTAACAAAGCAATGAACGTACCTAAACTGGACCGGAACAGTGCAGGAAGATTAAAATATAATTGACACCTTATATACGAAAAAAAGAGGAGAGGTAGGGGAACATTTAAAAATCAGATTTAAAACTTCATTAGTGATACCTATTATCTCTCACATTTTTATGCGCTTCAATGTTACACCACTTTGACATTGTTCTTCCTTATTAATAATTCTCAACATTAGCTTAAACTCTGTCATTAAATGGAGAAAAAAAAAATGAGTAAAACAAATAGCTCGAGTAGAAAAGTCTGACCACCTTTTATTGATCTTAATCAAAGAATAACTTTTAATTGTAATTAGATACTTAAATTTATAACAATGCTTATATTAAATCCATAACTAATTAAATCAATTTTATTATACTTTCAATTATAAATATATGTACAATTATATATAAAGGACTGTACAGTGTTAATAATTAATAGAATGGTAGAATGTTTTTTAAAATAACATTGCTGCTCAGAAAACTAAATGATCCCAATTTGTGAACTTATAAAGCACTATTCTTCGTTAAATTTTCACTTTCGCATACTGTAACACACCGATATATGAAATAATAGTTGGCTGTAGAAGATACCTGGAGAGGAGTTGATGAAGGTATTCATTTAATGAAAAAAACTCAAAGTAAAAATAAATAAATTATTGAAGAGAAGGATAACTAAATAAATATTATTTATTTTTACATTTTCCGACGTTTCGGCCCGAAGTTCAGGCCTTCATCAGGGCTAAGAAAAGAACCAGATAACAATAGGCATGAGAAACTATAAACATCGAATAAAAAATAATAAATAATTATATTTATTTTTGCCCTTTGTGCCTAAGTTTCAGGCTGTTCGTTCATAGGGGTTGGACAAATGCCAACAATGAAATCCACGAAGGCGAATCCACAAACATCAGCACGAAGGACAAAAATGAATATAATTTATTTATTTGTACTTGGTTCTTTCATTGACTGAGCCTCTCTCCCCCCCCCCCCATCAACTTCTGTCCAAATATCGTTTACAGTCTCTCCAGATATATGAAATATATAGTAGAGAAAATTACTGCTATAGTGAAAAATTTCGAATCTGATTTTTCGGCGGAAATACATGTTTCATGGTCGTGCAAGTCCAAATGACCATGTCTGGGAACAGTCTAGCTCAAAAATGTAATTAACTGGAAAAAGAAATTAAGTATTAAAGTTAGGTGTTCGTCTGCGATGTTACAGCAACTTTTTCGTCAAAATCGAACGGAATTGGTATTTTATATTATCAATTTAACACATTTATACAACCTAATTGTACCTATCGATTTTCATTAAACTCTTCATCTCGATATAAAATTAAATGACTTTAATAGCATGTGTGTATTATGTTCTAATACCAACATACAGGGGTGCTCATCACCTCCAAGGCCGATGGCGCATGCCCCCTCATTTATGTAATTAATATGTATATATATGGATGTATACATATATCCTTTTCCAATATCTCCCAAACAGACGATTCGCAACCATAAATTTTATTTTATGAATTGAATTTGTGAGAAGTA